TGTAACAGAATTGGGATAGACATACAACATGTAGAAAAAGGGTTCTAAATGACCAAACCTTCCACAATAATGACATCTCCACTACTGATTCCTGCCTCCATTGTACTTCTTCTAATGTCTCTGTTGACGTTGGGACATGTGATTCAACATCTTATGCTCTTGTTTCTTATTTGGAGGTACACACTTAACTTCAAGACTTCCTCCTTTGTTCTTTACAGCTTGATTACCATCACCAAGGCCTTTAATATTTCCAGCATTCTTCCTAGTTTGAAGAATCTCATCAAGAACAGTAGAGCCATTATTTAACATTCTTACAGATTTAGTCATATTGTCAAGTTTTGAATTGAGCAATACAACCTTCTCCTTCATATAAAAAATGATGGATAAATGCTCTACTTTCTCATCATGTAGTTAAGAAATAACTTTATTTTGTTCTTCTCCCAGTTGACACACTTCTTCACTTTTGAGGCACAACTCCTTGTAAGAGGCAGCAAGTTTCTCAAAAGTAAGTTCTCCACCATCTGATTCATCACCAGAGTCATAAATTCCGGTCAAGGCAGACACTTGCTTGACATATTTCTCTTCATGATCACTTTCAGAATCTTTCTTCAACCATGACACAGACAAGCCTTTCTTCTGCTTCTTAAGATATGTGGGACACTCAAATGTGTCAAAACCTTTCACATTTATGACATTGAAATCTTCTTCCTTGGATAGGTTTGTCATCAGTTCAGGCCCTTCTACCAAAATCTTGGTTTTTGTTAATGTCGAATGACATGTTCCTGGCATTTGTTCTGGACATCCTCAACACTTTGTTAAATTGGCTTCCCATTAACACAAGATCATTAAATATCCCTTATGTATTCGTCACATTCATCTTCTAAGTCTTCAACACTAGAGGAAAAGGCTAGGCTCTTCTTCTTTTAAAATTTTTCATTGATCCCTAATTCAAAGGTCTACAGATACCCCATAAGCTCACCAACCTTCAGATTGTTTATATCTTGTGTTTCTTTAATGGCAGTCACCTTCATGTCAAACCTCTTTGGAAGAGATCTGAGAATCTTTCTCACAAACTTGACTTCTAACATCTTCTCCCCCAAGGCACTTGAGACATTGACTATCTTAATAATATTCATGTGAAAGCCAAGAATACTCTTATCCCCCTTCATTCTTAAGTTCTCAAACTTGGTAGTTAGAAATTAAAGTCTTAACATCTTCACCTTAGAGGTTCCTTCATGAGCAGTCTTCAGAACTCTCAAGCTTCTTTAGCAACAGTACAATTCCTTATCAGTTTGAATATGTTATTGTCCACTCCATTGAATAGAGAATTCAATGCTTTGGAGTTTCCCTCTGCTAACTTGTCATCTTTATCATTTCAGTCTTCCTTAGCCTTCAACACATCAGTAGTCTTCCCATCCTTATCTTTAGCCATTGGTGGATCCCATCCTTTGACAACAGATTTCCAAGCTTTGTTGTCCATGGATTTGATAAGAGCCACCATATGAGCTTTCCAATAGTCATAAATGGTTCCATCAAGGATGGGTGGTTTGTTCATAAATCCTCATTCCTTATTTATTGTACCGTAAAGTATCTTCCCTGAATCTCACCCAGATACAGAGAAGGATGCCTGCTCTGATACCAATTTAAATTCAGGTATTCATATCTCAGATGTCCTAAGATATTTCGAGACACTAATCTCTGAATATAAACACAATGACAAGGTATAATAATTTAAACAGTGCAGAAAATAAGAGAACCCACAAAATTATTAACACGGTTCAGTGTACAATAACACCTACTCTAAGGGCTACCAAGCCAGGGAGGAAGTCCACTATAATAGTATTAATTCGAAGCTAAACTCCCATGTTTACAACTTCTCACTTAATCACTACATGTGCTTACTTCTACCTAAGACTCGCCTAGGTATGAGACCATTCTTATTTCCCTTTCAACCACAAACAGTGATAAGAACACAATTCAAAAGAGTTAGAAGATAAACTTCAAACACACACAATCACTCAATACCTATAAGCTTAAGAGTGATTGAAAATACTTACAACTCAATAAGAGACAATCCTACTCTTTTATCAAAGTGATATTAGAGAGACTCACAATTAACAAAACAGTCCTAATACATTCACTAAGACTCGGTGTTCAATCAACACATAAGACGACCAAAATCACATTCTACAATGCTACAAAATACACTATAGTGCCACCCTTAATTAGGTTTGTGTCCTTCTATTAAAGTAATCTTCTAGACTGGACTGGGCTTAAAAAATGCAGCAAATCAGCTGCTAAAAATCTGCAAAAACTTATGCATAAAAATAAGACTTCAATTATTATTTTCCTAAATTATCTCCATAATTAAAAACTAAGAATACTCCTTGAATTCAGCTTGAATCTCTTAACTCTTAAACTATGCGCCACATAGGATAGCATAATGTTCTCAGAATATTATGCCTTGTAATAAACTAAAAGCATCCAAATGTCATATTATACACAGTCACGATGTTGAATGAATCTACATAGGACATCTTGTTCAACATGTTTCTTCAGTTGATAGAACATCTTATTTCAACATGTTTATGCTAAGTTAGTTTTACCAAACATAATGTCAATCACAAAAATAGAGAATTAACATACTTATTTCGACTTTGTTAAATACTCTTAATTTATAACTTTATATATGTCATTTTCTGCATAAACATTGTACTGTTTAATCATCATAGCATACCTTTTGACTAATTTATCTAAGCATCACTAAAAAAACAAAATTTACTGTCTGGATTGGGTACAGAAATGTATCTCCGGATTTTGTCTGGTGAGAATACGGAGATGCATCGCCAGAACAATCTACTCCCCCGTCTCATATTATAAGCAATTTTTATTTTTTAAATTCATTAAATAATTAGTGTATCCGGTCAGCATATAAACCAAATATATTAATTATTCAATAAATTTAAAAAGTGAAATTTTCTTATAATATGAGACAGAAAATATAACAAAAAGAGACGTTTCAGAGAATGATTCATGACGTATAGATATAATTAATCCATAGATATATTTTCGGATTAAATTTTGAAAAATATATTCGATGTGCTTCAATTTTAACATTTTGGCAAATAAAAGAAGGACCAAAGATACATTTCTAAAATTTGAAAAACAATTTTAAATTTTCATAAAATACTTTTTCAAACACGTAGGAAATACTAAGAAATTCCAACAAAAAAAAACAACCAATAAACTTGCTAGACCCAATGTATTTTGTTAACTAACTTTCATAGGCATAAAAATAGAATATGATTATAATAATCAATATAAATGATGTAATTATGATATTACTAGAAAGAGAAAATATAACACGTTTGTGAATGAAGAAACAAAGATATCTTAAGTTAATAATAATAAGAAATATTTAAGATCGATATAAGTTTGTGAAATAGTTTAACTTAAATTTCAGTTTAAGTTCGCCACAAAACTTTGTTTAAGCTCAAATTATATTCATTATAAGTTTGTGAATAATTCGATTCAATCTTTAAGGTTTAGCTAGTTTATTTCACAGATTTAAAATTTATTTTTTAAAGTATTTTTTTATAATATATTTAATATTTTAAATAAATATTTTTTAAAAATAAAAAATATAGAAATAAAATAAAAATGATGTCTTTTACATTATTTTAGTAAAAACGTAATTTATATGATATTAATTTTAACTATATAATCATTTTTAAAATATTTTGCTCACTTGAAAATATTAATTATCATTAAAACCGTCGTATCAAAATAAAATGTTAAGATTTAAAGTAAATATTTAAATCTACTCTTAAAAATAATATAATACATCTTATATATAATTGAATTGACTCATTTAAATCATAAATCTAATTCAATCATTTAATTTTCGAATCAAATTTTAAATTATTTTCGAGTTGGTTCGGTTTATTGCCAACTCTAAAGTTAATTGAATTTTTTTAGAAATTTTAGAATTTTAAACATATTAAACTGTTTAATGAAATTCATTTTTTTTTGTAGAGAGTATTAGAATTATTTATTGTTAATTTTTTTGTTTATTCTATATAAAACTTAAAAAATTTGAGCTAAATTTAAACTTTGAAAAATAGGAATTAATTTATAATTTTTGAAAATTTAAAAGATTTATTTGTAAAATCTAAAACTTATTAAGAATTAATTTGTAGTTTTGAAACTTTTGAGGTCAATTTACTTTACTTTTTAAACATAATCTGTAAATATAACTCAACCCAGCCCATAAATAAATGGGTTTATTTGATTAAGTTTTGATAGTGTAATTTTGGGTTGGACAATGAAACCAATCTATTAACGTCTGAATGAGTTGGGTAACACATTGGGCCAAACCCTGTCTAATACAATTCGTGTCGTTTAATTCTTTTTAAATTTAACTTAGATAAGATACTTAGTAGATTTCCACATGTTTAACAATTATTCATATTTTTTTAATCCAAACAATGGATTTTAAACAAATCATTTTAAATTTATTTAAAAAATTATTTTCCTTCATCAAAATCATTAATCTAAACATATTCTCGGTTTCCTACATTGATATTGCCCTCATTTGTGTTTTTTTAATTAGTGAAAATACATTGTTTCACCAAAATCTAATCTCAATCGCCCTATTTTAAAATCAATAGACCAATTGACTTACTCCATAGATTAATTAAATGTGTACTTTACATAATCTATGTTTTTTCGGTCGATTGTAGATCTTACACAAACATAATTTATGCATTAGAAAAATTGCGACAATTAACTTAACATTACTAGAAATCATCTATGATTATTGTACTCTTACATGTATTGAGATTCATAGATAAACATCGCAAAGAGTAATAAACATAAAACAACAAGACATATAACATAAAACAATAAAACAACAAGACATATAATGATATAAAAAAATTTATTGACTCTCTAGCTATATGTGAATTTGGACTCTTTAGCTAGATCCGAGAAGAAAGATTTTAAAAAGCATTGTCTGAGTATAAGACAACAGTCAATACCAATGGATGTGAAGCCACAAGAGGGGACACCACACTCCCTCCAATCACCTCATATGAAGAGCTTGATAAATAAACGTCCAGTTCTTGTGCACTCTCCAACGTCGATGATGGGAGAATTGTCCCAGCCATTGAGATGATATTGAAACTTCCTTGAAGGGTTACGATTCTCCCTGTGGGTTGACGGAGCGTGACTTGCTCAATCACTCCTCTTCCATTAAGGACTCGAATAGATCTCCTTCGACGTCGAGCTAATTCAAAGAGAGCATCTACCAAATCGACTCCAACACCGATCTCAATGATGTGAGTAATGTTTGCACTAGACATATTGTAATGAATGGCAATGAAGGATGGTGTTAGTTTTCGATGGTGGTATTGGAGCTTGTGTTTGAAAGTGAAATTACGCTGTCATAAATAGGCAAACCTCTTGAAACGAAAAACAACGGCGCAACAAATTATGTTGACCAAAGTCGTAGTTTCTTCTATACTTTTTATATATTTACGTCGCCCACAGAATTCATTCACTTATTCTTAAAACGATATGATTATCTTTTTGTAATAAATTACGCTGGCCAAAAACGTAAATTATTTTGTATTTTTTATCCTATTTATTAATTTGATTTAGCCTATTCATTTTTATTATTTTATTTGTTTCGATCATAATCAATTATTTTTATTTTGTAATATTAACTTTTAATATAATATACGATATATATTATATCAAATCTATTATATATTAATATTTGTATAGTTTTAATAAAAAATATATTTTGTATAAGCAATTATTCTTATTATGTATGATGCTCATACTTATTACTTTATTTGAATTTTCGGAATCTTTCTTAAAACCATAACTCATAGTAAATTTGAGAGCAAATTTGAAAATGTAATTTCACTTTTTTGATTTATTTAATGGTAAATTTGAATATATAATTTCACATATTTTAGCATTATTTTAGTGTGTGAATTTTGCCATCAGACTCATTAAAAATTCAATTTATTGTTTTTTATACAAACTTAAAAAAATTTAAATTTAATTAAATTATTTAAAATAGTTGTTTATCAATCAACGGCAAAAAAGTAATATCATATATTTTTTTAAATAATGATAGTATAAAAATAAATTATGTTTATTAATTCAGCCTGATTGTCATAAAAAAAAAATCACTTAAAAAAATTTCTATAGTTAAAAAAAAAAAAAAGAGAGAATTTTCTTAACAAATATAAAAATACTTTGAATAAAAAAAACTATTTTGATTACTTTCTCTAAAAAAAGTGATTTCTTTATTTAAAAGAATGGTATTTTCTTTATGGAAAATAACACAAAATAACTTCTATTTTTCCACCTCTAAAAATTAATATCTTAATTATCAAATATCAAAATTACACCTTTTTTCAAATCGTAATAATTATTGGTGGTTGTGGTACAATTAGAACAAAGTATCTTGTGAATGAAAGGGTAGGTTCAAACATTTTAAAAATCCTGTTCGCATTTTAAAAATAAGGCCTTCTATAAATAATAAAAAAGACCAATTGAAAAATAATATTTAACAAAAAAAAAATTGAATATTTATTAAGTAATTTAATTTCTGAACAAGAATTGTTTCTCGGTGTAGTGGCAGGGGTTGAGTAAGACAATTATTTTTGGAATAAGAACGTTACAGAGCAAGCCGATCAAAAGATCCAGACTGAAAATATCAACACACTATGAAATATAATGTGTGCCCACATTAGCATGTTTTCTAATATTGTTATGTAACGTGCCTCTGACACTAATGTTGTGTATTATCTTACAAGTAGTGGTACTATATGAAATGGGCCTCATATGCTTCATTGATTTAGCATAATTGGTCTTTGGGATAAGGGTGACAATAGCATAGTTGACAACATCATACATATAGTTATTTTCAAGCAACTCCAGAACAACTGCAATAAGGTCCTTTTTATGATATTCCAGGCAAACTTGAAAATTTTGGACGTGAAACCATCCATCCCTGGAGCCTTATTGTCACCAATACTCTTTAGGGAAGTGTAAAGTTAATGCTCAGAGATGGGTTAAGTTAAATACACACTCTGGTCATCTTTCAACTGCTTACCTCTTCTAAGCACATTAACATTCACATGTAAAAGGGTATGTTTCTTTGTTCCAACTAAGTCCCCATAAAACCTAAGGATTTCCTTCTCAATATCCTTGAAATCTTTAAGGGTTCTACCCTGATTATCCTCAAGAGTCCAAAGTCTTATTTGTTTATTTTTCTCCTTAACAATAACATGGAAATATGCATTATTGCCATCACCTAACTTTAACCAGTCCCTCTATCTTCAAGAAGAACTTATTCAGTTAATACATCAACTTCCACAAGACCATGGCGTAAGAAACTCTTTGTTTTCTAGATGTACATTCACCAGTCATTAATGGGTTAGCCGCAACACTTGCAATCTTGCCAATACTTTTTTCACCCCAATATGCCATAGGAAGTTGAGGTAACATAATCCAGATTTGGATGATACAGATCATATCATCTTTCAGGGTAAAATCTGGGCTCCATTCATGTAAGAACCTGAGTTTACGATATATGGTATAAGGTCTTCTTCTAAGAACATCACCACAATCGGATTTTGTTTTGAATCTGATAATGAAATATCCCTCTTCATTATAGTAGAGTTCTCGTGGGGTAACAAAATTCCATGTGTTTGTCATAAATTTCTTCATCCCATTCACCGATAGGTCTCCCCCAAAGTTTCATATCAGCTTCGCTTTCTTCCTTTTTAATGTCTTCTTCTAAATCGTTCTTGCTGACTATGTCTTCTCCTTATTTCAATATCTTCGAAGATTCTCCTACTAGATGGACAACTGAGTAAGGTGATAACACTTTCATTGTCACTGGAGGGGTTGTAGCCGCCTGTTTCGGCGCCCCACTACGTCATCTCCCCCATGCCCTAATTCCAATTCTGATTCTTTCTTGCCCGTGTGCAGAAACTGAATAAGACCCTCATACATCACATTACTAGCCAACAATTTGGCTTTTACATTTTAAGTGGACCTATCGAATCACCGGTATAATCCGATTTTGGTTCAGTTCTAACCTCAAGTAATTTTAACTCCTTTCTTCTGATAGCAACCCTCACTACAAAATAAGTTGTGTTTTGCCACGTGAATCCCACATCGCTAACACCAAAATCACGTCACAACTTCATTTTTGCCACCTTAAGAAACACGTCGCTGGAGAGCGCGTGGCAATGTTGTTGCGGCGTAGAAAACATGTCACAATGTTGCCACGTGAAATTCACGCCGCAACAAACTTTATAGGGTCAAAGGAATTCAGAACAGAGCAGAGGTCAGAGCAGGTTTTATATTTACTTTTACGTTTGGTGTTGCGGCGTTTTTTCATGTCACTAATTAGTGACGTGGAAAACACGCCACAACTTGTTTTTTTATTTAAAATAAATTATTTTCTGTTTTAAATATATTAATTCTGATATAATAATTAATATTATTTTTTGTTTCATTAAATTTATAAATAAAATATTATAATTTATTTATTAAATACAATATTATAAATCAAATTATCAAAAATAAAACTAAATATATCAAAATGTATAAATTAATATACTTAATATTAAAAATTTAATAAACTAAAATTTAAATTTAATATTTTTAAATATACAATATGATTATAAATTTATATTACACAAATAAAAAACTAAATAGAAAATAAAAATAAAACTAAGCAGAAGGATCATTCGAGTCGTCGGAAAAGTCGCGAAGAAAGTCATCATTATTTTGGTGGTTATTATTTTGGCCATCACTGTTGGGATTTCTACCAAATGCTTGCATAAATTGTCGCATTTGCTCCTCTATATCAGCCTGCCTCTTCGCCATTGCCCCCATTTCTCTATTATGTTCACCCCCCATTGCCTCCATTTATGCCTTCAATGCAGCCTCACGTTCTTCGAACTCGCGTCTAGCCAATTGTCTTACCAGTTCTAACTGATCTGGTGTCAAATTTGTTTGACGTGACCCTCATTCACCGTCCGCAGCTCTCTGATACAGATTTCTATCCCCACTCCTCAAGATGCCCGCCAAATTTCCACCACAAAAAAACACCCGTTAGGCCCCTTTCTCCCAACAACTTGACTCAAAATATAGAAATCCACATCTGGATGAACCGGTTTTCCCGGAGGAGGAGTATACTGAGGATTATGGGTCAGAAATTCTACAAGCAAGACCTGATAATCCTCCTACACATACAATAAAAAAATCAAGTTAAATATATAAGTAAAATTAATGAAATTAAATTAAATAAAAAAATAATAAAAAACAAATAGCCACGTGATTGTAACGCCACAACTTATCAGTTGCCACTCAATTTTCCCGCCACAATATCTCACTTGCTACGTGAAAATCACGTCACAAAATTGCTTTAAAAAAATATAAACATAAATTTACTTACCAGGGCTTTTTTTGTACGCTCGTCAATAAATCTTCCTGATTTCTTTGTCCGAGTTTCGGTAACCAGCTCAGTCATCAATGGTTGTCTCCTCAAACGCTTAGCCTAAATAAAAAAATTAACTTAAATTAATAATATACGTTATAAATCCAAATATGACTTTAAAAAGTGGTAATAATTACCATACGTCGAGCATGCTCAGCAGTACTAATACTTCCAACAGCATTAAGGCAACCCCCTTTTTTCGATGCCCTCATCTTTTTTGCATTTTCAGATTTAGCCTTAAATTCATCTGATTCCCAATACTTAAGAAGTTTTTCAAAAACTTCTTTGCCTATCCATTTGGGACGAATGCCCAAAAGTTGCCAATTCTCTCTAACACGTCGTAGCATGTCAGAAAGTCGTCTTGAACTCCTGTCAATTTTTTTTTTTTACTTTGTTATGGTTCAGTGGATCCCAAACACATTTCGCCTGCAATGTTGTATGACATTAAAATAAATAGTTAGATAAATTATAACAATAATGAAAAGGTCATTTAAATAAAAATAACTTAAGAAATAAATTAATTATACCTTAAATTGCTTAAACCATTCGTCTTTATCGGAAACTTCTCTAAAACTCTTCAAAAAATTTGTATAATTCTGCTGAATTATATAATTTATAACCCTAGCAGCAGTCCGACTCGGCCCGAAACTAAAACAACAATAATTGAATTAGCATAATTAAGTATATAAAGTTATATTAAAAATGGAAATGTGTACTTATAAATAAAAATCAATAAATAAGAAACTTACGAGTTCCCTTCAGGCGAAATCCAAAATCTCTCATCAATGGTATGAATCTCACTCGAATCATCATCCCCTCGAAGATCTCTCC